AGTAAAAACTAAAAGGATTGTAGTTGTGAAATTTAAATTTACTACAAAAATTGTTGTATTTGCAGAAGATAAATTTAGGAAAAATTATGTAAGTAGTCCATGTACTTTATACGATGTGTTAATTTGATCCATGTAGTTTCAATTTGTTCAATTTTGCCCCTTAATTTAACAGATTGTGTCATTTTAGTCTAATAAATAACAGTTGTTAAGTTAATTTAACGGAAAGTCAAACAATATGTCAATTTGGTCCCTGTACTTTCCACAATGTGTCAATATAGTCCTTGTCAAAATCAAAAATATTGAAACTATAGGGACCAAATTGACACATCGTGTAAAGTACAGGGACCAAATTGACACATTATTTGACCTTCCGTTAAATTAATTTACAATTGTTATTTATTGAACTAAAATGACACAATCTGTTAAATTAAGAGCAAAATCGAGCAAATTAAAAGTACAGGAACCGAATTGACATATCATGTAAAGTATAGGGACTATTTACATAATTTACCCGTAAATTTATTACAATAGTGTCTCATGCCTTGTACTGGCATTTTTTTCTAGTATATATATAAGTGTCAGTTCATGAATTGATTCAGATTAGATTAGCTAGCCACTAACCCAAAAACTAAACCAGCAAATCTATTATTTAATTGTGGCAGCCTCAACATGCATATCATTTTTGCATATTATTTTATTGAGAGAATTCACATGATTATGTGTTTAATTTCGTGTATATCTATTTGATCATGAAATATCTGTTTGAAAGCGTACATTAAGTCAAAAATTGAAGGCCCAAATGAATTCAAAAACAGAAATTGATTAGTTTAATAAGCTAATTAGAATATTTAGAATCATATGGGAAATTTAATTAAAATTTGATTCAGATTAAATTAATTAGGAATAATCAATTAGAATTGAGTAGGATTAATTAAACTTAAGCCTACTTAATTAGCCTAATCTAATTTAACATATGTGTGTGTGTGTGTTATATATTAAGTGATGTTGAGTTCATTCTTCGTCAATTTTGGTTGAGATTTAGAGAGAGAGAGAGAGAGAGAAAAGAGGAATTGAGAAGAGAAGAGGAAGAATTGAAGAAGAAAAGAGGAAGAATTGAAGAAGTTACTCAAAAATTTACTAGATTCCTTCAAATTAAAGACTATATGTAAGAATTATAATCTTATTTTTTTGTAGATAATCCATCTAAGAGTTGAAATCGTCAAGAATATGATCTTAATCACAAGAAATGAGTTAGAAGATGATGAATTTGAAACTAAAGCATACATGCATGCATAATTCTATCATATTTCACCATTTTGAGCTTGAGTTTTGGAGTTCTTGTTGATATTGAGAGTTGAACAATACATGCATCAAAGAATTAAAAGTTTTAAGAGTTTAATTTCATGTTTTGAGGGTTTTGAAAAGAATTTGAAAGCAATTCCATACATGCATGGGAATTTTGATTTCAAATTTAACAGTTCATGGTGTTTTTGAACTAATGGTTTCAAATTGAGTTTATATTTATGTTTTTCTAAGTGTTTTCAAGAGTTCGTAAGTTTTTAACTTAGATATTCATGTTTTGGAACTAAAATTCTGTTATGAAAAATTCAGAATTTGACCTCATCGCTCAAGCGATCAAGTCGTCGCTTGAACACACTTAGCAGGCATCTAGTATTTTTGCAAAGACATTACATGTCACTCGAGCGACCAAAAGTCTACTCGAGCGAACTCAACTTTGTTTACACTTGGCTCGAGTGACCTTCGAGCCTAGATTTTGAACATCCAGAACTTTTGCAATCCATGCAGACCGCTCAAGCGACCAAAGATGCGCTCGAGTGAACTGCCCTGCTTTAGCAACTTTTGAAAAACATTTATAGGTACATACTTTCATCCTCATACTCTTTTAGGCATTCTTAAGCATTGGTTAGACATCATTAATGATGGAATAAGTTAAAAACGCACTTAAGAAATTTGAATTAAGAAATAATGTTGTTTAGTCAATGTGTTTCAATGTGTATCGTTATCTGTTTTGTGTAGGTTGGTCACCCAAAGCTTACGTCAGTCCAAACCCATTGTAAGTAGTATCTCTATAAAAATATGTTCGAAATGTATTTTGAAATTGTTTCAAGTATGATGTTTTTGAAATGTTATTTTATATGAATGAATGAATAAATGAACGTCCTATTTGAAAAGTATTTGTGGCATCCTTTAGTGAGGCATTTGCTTGGGGGAAACAATACCATGACCTTTCGATTATTAGTTTGAAAGAGATCTTTGATGAATGACCCAATTGGTCCCCTTGCCAGACTTTGATGGTCCCTTTGTATAGACCTTCGCGGTCCCTTTGCTAGACCTTGATAGTCTCTTTGATTAGTCGTTCGGGCCCCTTTGTTACTCTATTGGATGTACCATGTATGATGAATGATTAATGAATTTCGATATGTCAAATGTTCAATTTGAATTTGCTATATGATTATTTGGAAATACAAGATATGATTTATAATGTGTTGAACTTCATTCATTTAACCTCTTTATTTTCATATTATTCACTAGCCTCTAACTCACCCCTCTCCCTTATATATATAGGTGAGCAAATGGATCGTCAAGTCTAGAGTTGCTTCAGGAGTCCACCCCTTTTGTGAAGCCGCCATGAAGTGCCTCCGTGATGGGGCGTTACTTGGTCTCAAGTGGAGCCAAGCTGTCAATCCTTTTTTCTTAGTTTTTGTTTATGTTATTTTGGAATTTTGTTTTTGTGTGTGAAAGATGTGTAAAAAGTTTAAGCTATTTATGAAATTTGTCATGTAAACACTGCTCAATTGACTTATTTATATTTTATTATTGCTTCCGCTAAGCCCCATCTATATTTATGTGATTTGATTCTGTCTTTGAGACCAGAGGTAATCTAGTACTACTGGTCGATCATGACCTAAACCACTAGAGGCGGATTTGGGTCGTGATATTAATACACATAATTTAAATGAAATTTTGGATTTTGTTTTGTGTTTGTAATTTCTTAGATATATTTTTCTCTTACTTTTAAAATGTGCAATAGGGCAACGTAATATTCAATTCGAGATAATAAAAAAAATATTAAATATGGACGACTCAAGCTTTTTAAAATACAAAAATGTTAGGAATTATAAAAAAAAAACAATTATCCTAAAAATGAAGTATATGATGTAAATTTAAAATTACTAAAACGTGAGTCCTATTTATAATAAATGTAATTGGATAAAAGACATTTTAGATATTAAATCATGCATTATTTTTCATTTTAGTCTCTTAAATTCTAATTTTGTTATTTTGGTTTTTAAAATTATCAATTTGAGTCAATTTGGTCCTAAATCTAACATCCGTCTATATTAATAACAAAATTATAGATAAAAAATAATTTTGGTCCCTAAAATATGCATTTCTTATCATTTGTCTCTCAAGTTTTAAATTTTATCAATTTGGTCCTTAAAGTTGTCAATTTTAATCAATTTGGTCATAGTTCAAATTGTTAACATTGAGGACAAATTAACAACGTTGAGGACTAAAATGACAAAATTTAAAATTTAAGGGACTAAATTGATAAAAAAATGCATACTTTAGAGACTAAAATTATCTTTTATCCAAGGATAAAATACTTTTTACATTATCGATATAAATGGACGTTAAAAATATGACTAAATTAACTCAAATTGATAATTTTAAAGGCAAAAATAATAAAATTAAAATTTGAAAAACTAAAATAATAAATATATATATATATATATCAAAGATTAAAATTGACTTTTATCCAATGTAATTTATTGATTTACTTTATAGATAATAAACTAAATAAATTTTCTAAATATATAATATTGTTGCTTTGAAATAAGCATGGACTTGACCGCTGGTTCGGCCTTGGGCCGGACTTCAACAAATCATTTCTATTCGCGACGTTGCAGCCCTATGTATAACGGAGGCCTATTCAGTATTTTTAAAATATAAATATGTGATATTTTATAAAGTTTTAATTAGTAAAAAAGAATAATAACTCATAATTTATATTAAGAATAAAGAATAATATGGGGACTAAATAATTATTAATTGGTTTAGAGTATGGCTCATGCTGTTCGAGAATTATTAAATATTTTTCCATGTATAAGACACGTCAAGGGTTCTTCTCAGGAGGAGGATTCCCTCAAATTTAGATTTTGGATTAGAAATTGTTATTTGGATTTATAAAACTCATTGTGAATTTTGTTTTGATAATATAAATCATTCAGTTTATCAGGTGTTTTGTGTATTTTATGTATACAAAAAAATTAGATTAATTCAATAATTATAATTTATTTAATTTATCACATTTTTAATCTAAAAAATATATATATTTTTAAAAATAAAACATATATTTTTTTAGTTAAAAAAATAAAAATTAAGATATATTTTTAAAAATAAAACATATATTTTTTTAGTTAAAAAAATAAAAATTAAGTAAGTTAGATCAATCTAATTTTTTATATAAATAAAATATATAAAATATTGGAAAATTTACCCATAAGTCCTAGTTTCTGAAAAGTTGAACCATTTAGTCCTAAAAGTTTTCTTATGCTCCATTTAGTCCTATTTGCACATCAATCTAATGTTTGAAACATTAATCTGATGTTCGAAATCTAATGTTCGAAACATTAATCTGATGTTCGAAATCTAATGTTCGAAACATTAATCTGATATTTGAAACATTGTAATGGGACCTTTCAGTCTATAAAAAAACTTTTAAGACTAAACAGTGTATGAGTTATTAATTTGAAATTTATTAGTGCATCCCCCTAAAATATTTGATAAAATAAATAATTTTAATCATTAATATATCCCATAAGTCCAAATAGCGTCCTCCAATCAAAAATGGGAACAGGTGAGATTTCCCGTCCTCCTCGTTATATGTGTTTTATGGAATTTTGACCACATATATACATATACGTATGTCTATGTGTATGTATATATATATATACATATATTATTTTATAAAGGTCAAACAGCCAATTGCTTTGTTTTTTTTTTTATCTTTCTTGCATCCCCTCCACTTTCCTCCCATTTCCCCTCACTTTCGACTCCCAACTTACACCCAGCTGGAGATTTTCCCAAGAAAATTTCTGGGTTTTCTTTATTGATTCCTTGCTATTGTTGCAATCCATTATCTGGGTACAGAAATTTTGAATTCTACCTTCCAATTCTCTCAAATGGAAAAGGAACAGCCTTTTCTCAGTGAGGACAATACAGTATTACCCAATTGGAATTCTGCTAGTTTTGGAATTGAAATTCAATCCAATGAGCTGAATTGTGGGTCAGAACAACTTCCCAATTGCTTTTTGAATCCCAATTGGGAAAATTCAATGGATCAGAGCGATCCCTTTGAGTCTGCCTTGAGTTCAATGGTCTCATCGCCGGCTGCCTCTGGTGCCGACGGCGACGGCGTTGTCATCAGAGAACTCATAGGCAGACTGGGTAGCATTTGCAATTCTAGTGAAATTTCACGTCAGTCTTACATTACTGGTAACAATAGTACTAACAATTCATGTTATAGTACCCCATTGAATTCCCCACCTAAGCTCAACCTCTCAATGATGGATCACCAGATCAGAAGGAATTCGTCGATTCCCGGAAACCATTTACCATTTTCCGCGGATCCTGGATTTGTAGAGAGAGCTGCAAGATTTTCCTGCTTTGGGAGTAGGAATTTGGGTGGCCTAAATGGCCAATTTGGGCTCAATGAGTCTGAATTGCCTCATAGATTGACACCCATAATGGAATCCAGCAAGCTTTCCAGAGTTTTATTTAACCAGGCTATGAAGGTTGCTGGATCTCCAATGGGTGTGCTTGGAAATCCTAAAAATGGAGAATTTGGCAATTCCCGGGAGGGATCTTCGGTTTCTGAGCAGATCCCCGATGGAGAAATTGGCACGAAAGTTCTGAGTGATGCAAATGCCAGAAAGAGGAAATCAATTCGCAGAGGGAAAGCCAAGGAAAATGCTCCATCTTCCCCTGCTAAAGATGGCAAGGTAATTGTTGTGATGTGTCTTGTATTTTCTGTATATCTTGTCTTCTAGGTGTTTGATTGTTTTTCCTAACAGTTTTTTTTCCTTCTGATTGGAACCAATGAGATTAATTTGTCACAAATTCTTGGATTTTCAATTCTCATTGTTTGGGGGGAAGTTGTTGAAGTTTAAAGAAAATGTGTGCAGGTTGCAACAGAGAGTGATGAATCAACTGCAAAGAGAACCAAAAAAGATGAATCCAGTGGAAATGAGAAAGATATTGCAAAACCAAAGGCAGAAAAAAGTGAGAATGGAAAAGCTAAGGACAGTGCAAAGCCTTCGGAGCCTCCCAAGGACTATATCCATGTCAGAGCCCGACGTGGACAGGCTACGGATAGCCACAGCCTTGCTGAAAGAGTATGAAATATAGCACTTTCTCAGTACTCCATTCTTGTTAGCATTTCCATCACTAGAATAGAACCCAATTGACTTTTCTTTTCCTTCTTTTTTTCATCGTGCAGGTCCGGAGAGAGAAAATTAGTGAAAGAATGAAGTTCTTGCAAGATCTTGTACCGGGTTGCAATAAGGTGCTCATGACATGAAATTAGCAATAATTTGTTATTGAATTGAATGAGAAAATTGTGCAGAACTCTAAATTGAGATTGATTTTCGTACCAGGTGACTGGGAAAGCTGTTATGCTCGATGAAATTATAAACTATGTGCAGTCATTGCAGCGCCAGGTCGAGGTAGATTTGAGAAATCCCAGGTTCACATTATGAATATTAATTGCATGATTGTGGGTAAATTGCTAAATTTGAATTGGTTGGTTGATCTATTTTTTGTAGTTCTTGTCAATGAAATTATCAACTGTAAATCCAAGGATGGATTTTAACATGGAAGCTCTCGTGTCAAAGGATGTAAGATTGATTGTCACATTTGTATTCTTCTATGTTATGGCAGTTCCATTTGAATTTTGCTCTTAATTTTCTACATATAATCATTTTTCAGATCTTTCAATCTATGCCACACATTATTCACCCATTAGATAACACATCATCACCTGCATTCCCTTATGGATACCAGTCTCTTCATGGGCCAACCCTACATGGTGGCTTGCCTAATGGCACAGAGACCTCTTTAACCATGAACCCTTTGAATGGCGCGCCTCAGTCTCAGGTAATTTTATATTTGTTGCTTAGTTTCATACAAATATTTCAACTGGTTGTCTTTCTTCTTTTTGTTTTCGTTTTTTTTTTTTTAATAAACTTGTAAATAAATTTCCAGCCTACCACATTCTGGGGGGATGATCTCCAAAGTGTTGTTCAGATGGGTTTTGGCCAAAATGAGCCACAGAACTTTCATGGTGAGTAAATATTCAAAAATAAAAAAAATAATCAATTGCTAAATGTAGTTTGTTTGCAGAATTTGAATTTTGATTTCAACGTGCATGATTTGTTTGATGCAGGTGCAATGGCCACAACCCAGATGAAAGTTGAGCTATGAAACACATTAAATCAGCATAATGTTGAATTCATTTGAAGCCCCAAGTGAGAGTGGCTTCTGTATAGACAGAGAAAGAGGGAGATGTGGAACAAACTTATTGGGATTATGAGAAAGAAAGCATCTTCTCTTTCATTTTAATTATCCATTATAAACTCACTATAGGACTAATTGAAAGTTGAGATATATTATTGTTAGCATGGTGAGAAGTGTGCTGCTATTCATAGGGTTGATGAGATAGAGAAAGTATTCATGTAAGCTATTGTTTCCAACCTTGTATTTCATATCTCTTTACCATTCAGAAATTTTATCATTAATTCATTGAGAAATCTTATGATAATGTTTTCTTCTTCCTTTTTGGGTATTTATTTTTTTATTTAATTAGCATGATTACTACTGCAAGAGAAACACTATCTTATTAAAGTAGCTTACATCACTACACCAAGTCAATTTCTACCACACAAATTATTGATTTGTTTGGTTACCCAGAAAGCAGATTAAAGAAAAGAAAAGAATATTGGCAATCTTACCACGACCATTCCAATCGTAAACAGTTAACAGTATTGCAAATTTCCTATTTTCTCCTTAATTTTCTGAATAACGAACAGCAAAAATTGTGATTTTAATTTTCTTCTTAGCTAGAGATGTCATATTCAGAAGCTGACAATGGAAAATGATTACTTTTAAATAGCGTGACTTGAGGAAAGATAAAGATTGTTAATTGTAACCAGCTGTTAGTAGGGACAAATGGTCTCTTTAAGTCCAAATGATTGATTATGACTCGTACATATATATACATGTATGTATGTGTACAATTAGCTGGAATCCAAACTTATTTTTGTGTTGCCCCCTAATTTTTTATTTTTTATTTTTTGGTGAATAACCCCCTAATTGTTACTGTGCTAATAGTGTTGTTTCTTTTTTTCTTCTTTATTTATTGCCTAGTAATACATACATAGAATACAGACACTTACAAGCATGTGAGTTCCACACTATTGTTGTAGTAAGGATAGTTTTTTTTATTTGGCCCAAATAAGGATAGACAGATCGAAACTGTTAAAATTAGAGTAAAGTATGAAATTATGTCACTATACTAGCTGAGTTTAAAATCAAGAATACAAACACGATACTTGAAAAAACTCCACCGGTTACCATCCATATCTACACTTTTGATTTGTTGTTTTAATTCTATGTATATATAATTAGAGGGTTGTCCTTATCTTCTTTTGTTACTATCCATATCTACACTTTTGATTTGTTGTCTTAATTCTATGTATATGTAATTAGAAGGTTTTCTCCATCTTCTTTTGTTACCATCCATATCTACACTTTTGATTTGTTATCTTAATTCTATGTATATGTAATTAGGAGGTTGTCTCTATCTTCTTTTGTAACACTATCATAAATTTTGTATTTTTTTGTGTACATGTAATTTACAATTTTTATTTGTTTATTTTTTCTTTTTTCTTTCTTTTTGTATTTCACCAATTCTCATTAAGTTATTATAAATTCCTAACAACTATGTGGGTTTCACAACCTTGTTTGTATTCTTGGCAAGATTTTTTATTTTTTATTTTTTTTTCACCTTTGTCTTTTGTCTTTTGATTTGTGTAAATTGAGAAGCAACCTCAAAAGGTCAGGTTAGCAATGGTGAAAGTAGTAAACTTGGCTAAAGAGAATCAGAGAACTTTTGAAATCTCATCATCTACTACTTTATAAAATTTATGGAAAAGAAAATCTGTATGGATAAGTAGAAGAATAAAGGAGTGGAGTTCAGAAGTAGATATAGATAAGATATTCCTTTAAAGACAGTCAAACTTCCCATGGAAGCCTGTCAGGGAAATCCAGCTTCCAAACACCAACAAAATAAATATGCACCCATTTTCTTTCTTTTTTCCTTTTTTCTTTTTCTTTATCTTTTCCTGGTGGTGAGGTAATTGATATGCACACATGTACACAATTTAATGCAGAGTCAATTTGCTGAAATTAGAACCTTTTGTTTGTGTATATGCGTGTGTTCAAAACACCAAAAATAACTACAAAAAGGTAAATTTACACTACCCTACCATGAGCTTTAAAGAAAATACAGGACAAGTCGTATAATTTTGATATAATTACACTAATTTTTTTTTTAGTAAATTTAAAGATACCAAAACTAATGCAGGTGGTATAAAGTCACAACGATACAGAAGGTAAATATACATTGCAATATAAAATAGATGATAATATTATTTTTTCATACAGCTAATGAATTCTGATGAAAACGGAACCAAATATTATATAAATTAAAATTTTAAGGGAGTCAATGTAATTATACCAAACTTGTGAAGCATACTATATTTTCTCCAAATACCAAGAGATGTTAGTGTAATTTACCCCTACAACAAATACATAATTTGAGTGAAACAATCATCTTAAATGTACCATCAAATTTATTTTATGTGGCTAATTTTGTGTAAATTTAAAAACTTTGATTTCAGTAAGTATAAAAGCTTTCAAACTAAACTTTCCAAAAAATAAATAGATTCATTGTAAGTTTTTTCAAAAGAAAAATAAACAGCACTACTATAAACTTAGAAATTTTATTCCAAAATTTATCTAGAAACATCAATTTATGGCTCAAATTTATTCATATGTGGATATTACACTACACCAATTCAATTTCTACCACACAAACACAAAAAATCTCGAATGACATGTTCGGGACAATGGCATTTCTGCAAAATCATTGAAAAATATTTAAAACCCTTAAAAAGTTTTCTATAATTTAATTTACAATGACATGGCATGCAATATGTCAGTTTTTAATTTATCGCAAAACCAACAATGTAAAACTTAACTCTCTGGTTATATCATTGCGATTAAATTTATTAACAAAACTTGTAAATATCTAACATTTTTAAAAAATAGGAGCAAAGAATATTTTTGAATTTAAACCCGATGTTTATTTCCATTGAATAGAATTCAAGGGGGAAATTTTTTGGGAAAATCCTTCATGAAGACACCATCAAACTCTATGGATGGGCTGTATTATGGAATGAATCTTTCTTCACAATGGAAAATTACTCAGCTTATTTGATTTGATTTTTCAGGATTTACTTTTCAGATAATTGAAATTTTTTTATTTTTCGTGTTTTTTTTCACTGGATTCTTTTAATATTCTAAGCAATTTTTTTAATTTTTAGATACACCTAACATAAATAGACTTAAAAAGTATAACATTTGTAAAAAAATTCTTTAGAAAAATTCACTAAATATCAAAAATATAAATAAAACAATATGAGAATTTAGTATATTTTTCGTATTGTTGTGTATTTATTATTTTTTAAAATATCTTTTTTATAAATATTTTACTTTTTAGATACATCTAAGTAAGATGCATCTAAAAAAGTAAATAAATTACTTAAAATTTTAAAAATATTCACTAAAAAAAAAATACACACACACAAAAAATACAAAAAAAAAATTCAATTTTTAGAAAATTAAATCTAAAAAATTGAAACCAAACATAGTTAATATATTTTCTTGAGAAAGGTATCTTTGAGTTTGAGTTATTAACCAGTAAAACAACAAAGATCATTTAAATAACCATCTAATTATTTCCACATCTATTTAATTAACCATTTTTACACGTATTAATTGAAAGGGTAAATTACATTTTGCCCCTTTATTTGACCACTTTTTTACTTTGGCCCTTAAAATTTTTTTTACCCACTATGGCCCTTTATGTTTCAAGTTTTTCCCAATTTACTCCTAAAGCTAATTTATTTTCAAAATTAGAAAAAAAATACAATAATAACTATTACATAATATAAAAATATATTATTATATTAGAGTTTAAGTTTATGTTAGAGATGTGATTTATATATAATAAAAAATTTTATACCATGTGACTGTTAATATGCCATTTTTTGTCTAATTTTGAACAAAAATTAGCTTTAGGAGTAAACTGAGAAAAACTTAAAATATAAAGGGCCAAAGAGGAAAAAAAAACTTTGAGGGGCCAAAGTAAAAAAGTGACAAAACATAAAGGGAGCAAAGTGTAATTTATCCTAATTGAAAATAGGGAATATGCAACTAGTTATGTAATTTTGTGGTACATATTTGTATTTTTGTGACAATTATTACGTAATTTTTTAATATAGTTACGATAATTTAAAAATGAAATTATGTATTTTTGTGATATTATTACACATTTTGTAGATCAAAATGTTTTGATGAAAAAATGCATAACATTATCATAAAAATGTATAGCATTACCACAAAATGCATAATTTCATTTATGAATTACAAATTATTGTAACTCTAATAGAAACTTATGTAACATTTGTCATAAAAATGCATAACATACACCACAAAATATATAAGAGTGTGTAGCGAAGAAATTTTTCAAAAATGTCACTATTAATTTTGCTGATAGTTAATGAGCGAGAGATTTATAAGTTGGTTTGAGCCGTGGTAGAAGCCGGGCAAATTGAGGGCCGAGCGTGTTTGGGCCGAGCTAACTTGGTCTTGTTCAGAGGTGGTTTTGCTCAGTCGAGACCCAGGACCATGTTGGGACCGAGCTACTTGGGCTTGTCCATATCCAGAGTCGGTTTTACTTAACCGAGGATTAGGTCCCGTGCCTGGACCAAGCTTACTTGGCTGAGATGATCGCTTGCCAACCCAGGTTCCATGGTTCGCCCATTTAGCTCGGCGGCAAAGGCCTTCTGTTTACCTGCTCAACCGGTCTTGAACTCGGCTCTGACGGAATGCTATTGAGCTCGGTCGTGATGGAGCTCGGCGAGTGGAGCCCTCGGACTCGTTACGCAGCACGGTCGTGTGAGGCCGAGGTGATGCCGCCAGGCTGCATAGTTCCCGCTAATGTTGTATGGCGGTTTGGTTAGGTGGTGTTCGTTGGATTTGTGCTGACAGACAGGAGAGCAGCTCCACGTGTCGAGAGACTAATGAGTGCAGAGTTGAGCGCAGAAAGTATATAAACATGACTGCGCCCCCTATGCTGGGGATGAAAACATCATTTTGGTGAGAGAAACCTAAACACTCAACTCTCTTCCTCTCTCTATCTATCTCTGAGTGTGTGCTAACTTGACCGTCAGAGGGGTTTTCCGGCAACACACCGCCACGTAGCTCACCGTTGTTGTGTTCTTAGGTCGATCGGATAGATTCGGAGCTTGGACGAAAGAAGTACGGACAGCAACGAATATCTTTTCCCCGTACAGTTAAAAAGACGAATTATTTGTGTGGATAATTTAAAATGCATAAATTCATTTATAAATTACAAATTATCATAATTTTAGTAAAAAATTACATAATATTTATTATAAAAATACATAACAAAAT